AGGTAATCGTAGGCCTGCCTTCCTGTTTCCACTATGCCTAGCAACCGCATAACCATGCATTGGCACACTGCTATAGCTGTTATTTGAGTAGTACTTTGACATTGCCCGAGGAAGGATTGGCGCAGATTGGTCTTCTTTTATGGAATGCGGTGCAGATATATCTCGGCCACATTCGCCATGGAGTTTATGCCCATCTTAGGTCTAGGGAGGCAAATTCGACCAACGACAGTATTAGTGATCCCACCCCTACTTTTTTTTTTATCTCCTGCATAGATTTTGTGCAAATTGATCGTACCAAACAGATGATTTGTGTCATTTAAGAACTCCATGATTCGACCATCGCACTACGCGTGCAGCAGCTCAAGTTCACTTTTTCACCTGCTCTGGAACTACTGCATTCTACTTGCATTTACGTTTTTAACCTCAGCGAACACTCGTTCCGATGTCATTTCATTGGCCAATGATCGATAGTAGGGCTATCGGACGGTGCCTGACCCTCAGAGGCTTTTCAGAATAGGGCGTCGAGCGCTGAGCGTTGAGCGTTGAGTGTTAGCGCTCAACGCTCAACGCTGTACTATGGAGATGTCTAAAGAGAGAAACAGGCTGTAAAAAGTTGTACCTTAAAACGCCCCAAAAAGTAAAATCTCAAGGAGGGATGAAAGTAAAATCTCAAGAAAAGAATAAGAAGACCGAAGGGAAAGGGAATTCATGCATCCATGATGTCAGCGCTTGAATTGAAGAATTTCCTTTAAGCGAGCGAACTTCGCGGCCTACGCTTCTACTTGGATTTTGGTATAACTTCATCAGTTATTCTGGCTGAGTAGGTGATCCGCGAGCTTCACGGGGTGCCCCCAACCTTTCAGTGAAGCTCACCAGCGATTATCCAGTTTATAGGAGAAGGAGTTCTGTTGGTAGAGTATAGGAGGTTCGGTTCCTCGAACCGTGCTTTTGACAACGAACCCTCCAGTGCCACCTCCATAAGCCTCTATCAATGCCACAATTTTTGGCGTGTTGTTGGGACGGGGTTCGGCACTAGAGAGAGGGCATTAGTCACGGCGATGGGAGACAAATTTCAATAATATGCTAAACCGCATAAGGTCAAACCAGCGGCTGTCATAAGAGCAGAACGAAGTGCTCAGTTGAGCCGATAGTTCCGATATTAATGCCTTCGATACTCCCACAAAGTGCTCTGTAGGCATTCCCAGACGGCCAACTCTCGTAAGCTATTTTTACTCAGACTTCCATAGCAACGCCTCTTGACTGGGAAAAAGAAAACAACATGTTTTCAATCAAAGCACATCAATTAGAGGCATACATGATGAATATAGAAAAAAGATGGTTATGTGGTGGAGGAGACGACGTGTGGTGCTTGGACGGCAAGCTAAGCCAAACCACCAAGCATTAAGATAAACACATCGACTTTGACGGCCCGCCTTCGAAAGGACGTGTGTCAGGCACTTTATGGCAGTTGACTCGATTTTAGCATTTGCCAGGATGTCTGCGCTTCCCCAAGCTGTCACCATTATGAATACTGTTCGATTTCTAACCCAACTAGATGCTTTTCTTGCGTCCTAGGAGAATGCAGTACGCTGAATCTACGCATNTGCTAGGGTAAAGACAAGAGAGCTACATCCTTTAACTAGTATGATATAATAGAGAAGGAGAATCAGGGTTTCATTTTGTAGCATTACTAGTTTTGCAAAATTTCATTACTCAGTTCTTCATTCTTTCCTGAGGCCCAGACCGTTCTGACTGTTCCGAACTCTCTTGATACTTATAGATTCCTCATAGAAAGGATGATAGCGCCTGGAGCTCCACGCACAAAGTTAACATTTAGGTCAAGAATGTAATCGAGCACTTCCTAAAGAGAAACTTAATTGTCGTGTTGGCGATACTGAAAAATTAGGCGAAGTCTTCATATTATCTTTTCCCTGTATTTCTCCTTCCGAGAAAATGTTTAGGAGAGTGGTTAGCAGTAGCTAGGTGAAAAGCGAATGACTGGATAGCAGCAGGTAACTTTTGAGTGTTGTAAAACGATTCTTACACTTTGGATGCTGATTAGTTCCGTTTCGAAAAAAAATTCTGTGCAGTCTTACTCTCTTCCTACTCACTCGACTTCGACTTGAGTAAAAGTGGTGTATTCGTATTTGGCCTCTAAAATGGCCTGCAGGATCTTGGGCACAAGTCAGGCTGGTTTTCTATTCTCAGGCGAGTTTGGCACCAATTTCACAATCTTGAAGGGAAGGAGGACTCTGTTGAGATGGACTGGCACCGCTTCGCGACTTAATGGCCCAGCAATTCATAAGTTTGCGATGCTACTTGGTCCTACCCTACCTTCACCCTGAAGAAAGGCGATTGATGTATCTTATCAGCGGTTGACACACGTCCTAAGCTCAACGTCAGTTCAACAAGCGATCATATTTCATATAAGAAGCGAACAATAGTCTCGAGAAGCGAACAAAATTGAGACTCTGATGGAATCTTTCGACAATTAATGCCTGAAAAAGGCTTGAAGCACAACTGGTAGACAAGGGGATCAGGCAGAGACGAGCAATCCTTCAGAAGCATTCATAGGACTGAGAGTATCCCCAGGAGAGCACACTGACCAAAAATTTTGAATTCACTCTAAGATTATTGAGATAGGATCCCAGAAGGTAAGGTGAAGTACACGGGCAAAGAGGTTCCCATGCGGAGATCATCGAATACAGCGAAAAGAAAGAAAGTAAGTAATTAGTACCGAGAAAATTTCAGAAAAAAAGTTACCTGGATCATCACTGAAGCGAATAGATGGTTGAGCCTTTTGCATGTACCAGAGCATGACTGAAACGACGTTAACACACAGGCACGTTTTTGACAGAAACTGGCGTGAAGTGGATTATGCGAACGAGCTGCTGACGCTTCGGTCTGCCCGTCCCACTCTATGAAACTACCAAAGGTGAGGAGGCATGTCGACAAATTCCAATGTTATCGGTGAATTTTTTTCGATCTTGATGTTCTTCGTGCTCGGTCGAACGTTCAACAACGTGCTCTGAAAACGTACGGCACTTTAACGAAGTAACTGCCAAACAGTTTGAAAAAAGAAAAGAGTAGAAAAAGAAAGGAAAAGAGAAAAAAGTAAGAAAGGAGGTGGGAATAAGCCGTGCATGAGAGGAAAATGAATGAAAACCATTTAAAACGTCCTGACATGATTTTTCACGTCATATCGAGGGAAATCTGGTGAAACTTGCCCTCTTACGTGTTTTCACCTGTTTTGTGTTGTTGAGTGCTGTATGATGTCACGTGGGGAAGAGGGCTTGCTTGAGCTGGATCGGGGTATGCACTTTCCGACCACTGCCGTTTTGGGAGCTCCCCCACTGCGATACAGAAACGAAATTCAGTAGGGCACACGGCTTTACAGTAATCCCCTAGCTTCCTCACCAACCCACCCCCGTGTCCCTGCCCAAAGCTCCTTTTCGATGCGTCGTATATGTGACTGGTGGGAATTTGCGGGGTAACGAAACTTCTCCCCGAATTCCCACGGCCTGCGGCAGTGGTTCCGCGGCGACTTTCCGTATCCTTCCATAGGGAATTCAAATCGTTCCTTTCATAGCGTGCGATCGCGTGCAGCGAGCGCGACACCCTGTTCGGGGAGAAGATGCCATACCCGAATTTGCGTATTAAAATGGGGTTATGCTGTGCTGGATTACTGTAAGAGCCTAGTGCTGTACTGAATTGTCGTTTCCGTTCACTGCGATTTCGACGCTTCCTCTTCTCCCTAGCGTTAATCCCACGCCGTATAGGGCCCGCTGTTCTTGCCAGCCGTATCCTCTCCATTTCTATCTATCTACGGCATCTTATGCCGTTGATATTTTGCATCCTGCCATCTATTCTTTGGGGCTTTTCGTGGTCGCTTACCTTGATCTCGAACTCCATGGCCTCCATTATCGGATGGCTCTGTGATCTTTTTAGTACGTGCTCGAACCATCGCAGGAAAAGCTCTCTCATCTTCAGCTGAACTGAGACTGTTTGCATAGCCGCTCTGAAGTCCGCATTTCTGACCCGATCCACCTTCATCCAACCGCAGGCCCACCTAAGATTTCGACACGTGGGTCGAAAAACGGCAAAAAATTTGATTTGTTAAGCATCTGAACGAATTTACAGACATAGTTCATGATGAAAGCGTTTCCTGAGATTTCTCCCTAAGATGTATCTATAACCCTAAAGATAGCGCAAGAGACGTTGCCGGGTGAAGAACGGTCTGGATAGGGCGTAATATGGGCCTCAAACTGGCCTTGCCGACGCACACACCTAAAGGCGGACGAGTTAACACGGCGTTGTAGAGGCCGTTGAGGTTGCCGTATTTGCACCAGGACCGCACGTTCCACGCAGGCAGCTTAATGTCGCCAGATGAACTTGTGTAAGGCATGCACACACGCAATACACACAGCTCACATGAACTTTGTTAATCATGCCCTATGCTCAACCAACTCCAAACTTGGTGCGTATTTAGGTTATACCGAATTTTGCGGTAAAAAGATCGCAGACAGACAGGCAGACAGACGGACAGACACACACAGACATTAGGGGAGACGGAACATTCACCCAGAACTGGATGGACGCGGCAGGCCACGCGGTGAAATTCGTGGTGATTAAAACGACTTTGGCGCCTATCATTGGGGCACAAAATTGAAGTGGGATAGATGAGTAGCATCAGCTGGCCCTACTTATCCAATCTACTTGAAACCCGTGCCCCATTGATAGGCGCCAAAGCCTTTTTAATCACTACCAAATTTGCCGCGCGGTTTGCCGCGTCCATTCAGTTCTGGGTGAATGTACCCATACCCAGACATTAGCGCGTCATATAGAGTAGGATGGTGTGAAATTTGCGTCCACTGCATTTATTTCACCGCAAGGTCACTGTATGAGCCGTGTGCCCGTATCTATTTTTCGTTCCCGTAGGTAACGAGGGGGAAATTTGAACGGGGTAGGAGCGTTTTGTGCAATGTTGCATTTCATAGCGGATGGTCGCGCAACTCGAATCTGCCGAATCGCTCAAAGATGCGGGAAACTGTGCCTTAAAACGAGGAGAATATTCCAAAGCTAATGAATAGTAAGTTGCCTTTGATTCCTGTTCTGAAAAAGGTTAGGTCTTCTTTTTTTTTGAACTATTAGTTGAGTAATTCATTTCAGTTACACAGATGCACTTCAACTTACTAATGAAAATGATAAAGAACTTCGAGCTGTGCTTTACAGAAATCGTTCACTGTTGAGATTGAAACAGAATGATTTCGAAGGGGCTGAGAGTGATGCGACAAAAGGTGCGCTTCACTTAACTTTTTTAGAGTATCTTTTTCGTTTTCACGTTCCTTTTTCCAGTGTTTAAATGGTAGGGCTAATGTAAGTTTCCTGACGAAATCAAGTTCAGTCGTATTTTTCATTGATCTCGTATACTTCCCGCTTTTTGCTTAACGCAAACCTTTAGTTTGCTCCCTACCACTGATCTGATTTGTTATCACAGCAAAAGGTTTACAATTAAAAGCCCAGTTCCAGAGAATGGTTTCTGTGATTTAACATAGGATGACTGAGGCCCCTTGTGTACCATATGTGGCGTTCTTTGCGCAATTGCAACTACTGAGATCTCGTCCAAATGCCTCGTCCATGTAATTTCCGTCTTGATAATCTCGTACAACCTCTATTTTCACAACTTTTGAGGAGCTTTATTCTTCGTGTAATCGGCAAACTTTCTCCCTCTCCTCGCCACCGATGCACTAATCCCAACCATACTTCCGCTTTTTGATCTAAAGAGGGTACTCCAAAATTGATTGGTCACTAGCCCTCTGTAGAGGTCCGTGCAACCTCGACTTTCCTGTCACAGATTTTTCAATACAATACAATATTCCTCTGGTATAGGTATTTTTTGACTCGCTCTATTCAGCTATTGAATATAATGGCGCTGATGTGAAAGCACTCTACCGACGAGCTCTAGCTCGTGAACACCTCGGCAATGTAGCTGCAGCATTCAAAGATGCCAAAGAAGCCTTGCGATTGAATCCTAAGGACAAGTAAATTCCTCGTAGTTTTTTTTTAGACTTCAGCTCTATTACTGCTGATTTTCAGATCTATTTCTGAACTGCTACAACGACTAGCAATCATAAGTAATGAAAAAGTTGAAAAAACCACGAGTATGGATAACAGGGTAAAGGATATGAAGGTTCTGGCATTCGAAGGTTCTGCAAAAGACAAAGAACAGAAGTTGCAGGTGTGCAATTTATTTTAACTAGATTTTTTTTAACTGATGGCTGAGTTCTAGGCGTTCAACAATCTCCTTGTCCTTTCCAGAGAATCTGAAGCGGGCGCCGCAAAAACATGGCAAATGGTTAGTAGCTTTTCTGCTTTTGCCACATCTCCGTTTCATAAGAGCATCCTGGTTTCGAGCTGTCATCCTCATGCTTGTTAGGGTATATTTCAGGGGAAGGTTGTGCCAGCTCTGCTAGGCGTTGCCGAAGATATCAACGAGACGCTGGAAATATCTGTATGTGCCGTCCGAATCGTCGACGAGCTTATCAAGGATCATAACAGAGTAAGTAAGACAGTTCCATTCTGGCTTTCTGGCTAAATCGTTATTTCTGTTCGTTCTTCGAGCTTCACGGGAACCGAACTCTCTCGTTTCTTTATGAATCCTTTATGTTTTCATGGAGAATTTGGCAGCTCAGGATTTTCCTTTACAGGCGTTGTATTTCCTATCAATGCATGACAATGACGGTTTCCGTTCGGCACGACGTGTTTGTCGTCTGATGTGTGCTAGAGATGCGAAGGAATATGTGAATGTGGCTGGATCGATTATTCAAAGAATATTCAATGCTCTTGTGAAAATGGACCGTGCAAATGATATAAAACCTGATCCAAAAGTTGCTGAAGGTAGTGCCACAATGCTCGCATTTCCTTATGACTTTCAAACTTTGAGAATAGCTTCCATCATTAGCTCGCTTGCATGCAATGGTATCTGTAGTCGGATATTGCATCAACTAACCAGCAGTAGTGCTGCAGTGTAGGGCTGCAGTGCTGCATGCATAGGAATTTTTCTAAATCTAGTAAATAAATACGCGTGCAACTTAGAAAATTCTCGTTAAAGTCTCTCTGCGTTACCCTCATGCTCGAAATGTATAATTTTGCCATGTCTCGATCAAAAAATTTGTTGTTGATGGTAGGCTTACCCATCACATTAGTTTTTTTTTTCATTTCAGCCAACAAACTATGGATAATTCGCGTCATTGTGGAGTTAGAGTATATGTTAAAAGACAAAACTGTCGCAGCAATCGTGAGCTTTTACAACATTTTCATATAACTTTGGGAAAGACAATTCGTTGATTTCCGGCTCGTGAGATGGTTATTGACGTGTTGCTTAGAAATTTAATGCACATGGACTATGCGATTCCGAGAGAATGGTCATGGAAATTCGTGGAAGGTCAAGGTTTGTTATCCATATATGACTGTTTACCGGTAAAGTTTCTTAGGCGAGGGCAGGCGGGGTCTCGGTAGTGACAACGGTGCCCGGATAGCGCAAGTGCGAGTTTGATTCCCGTCCAAGATCGAAGTTTTGTTCACAAATCGCTTTCCTTTTGAGATTCTCTCACGAATATTTTCAAGGCCTAATAAGCCTTTTGGATGTGGCATCGCAGATTTCCGAGCAGTGCGATTATCCGGTATCGCACGAAACTCGTCATCATGTGGCAATCTGTCTCCAGCGGCTCCAAGAGCGTATGGTATTAGTTGACCTATTTGTTCTACTTGTATCCCCTTCTGATACAAAAATCTTTTTTTTCAATTTTTCCCTATGTTTAGGCGCTTGATAATAAAACGGGTATGTACAAGCTGAAGGTGTACTCGTTTTTCAAGTGAGCTTAAATATTTGAAAAGTCATTGTTTCAAAATATTAAAGATTTTTCAGTAACCTCCTGGCGCGTGTCATCAACGATCCGGACGGTAATGAATATCGTATAAAACTTGCAGCTTATTTAATGACGTTGCTACAGGTGCTCTTTCTCTTGCCTTCAGAACGCGTTTAATGAATGTCAAATATCGTTTCCTAAGGGCCCCGTTGATATTGGCATGAAACTTATCAAAAATGATAGGGTTAACAATGTAATGCTTCAAATGGCTGAATCTACTAATCACCTTGTGCAAGTATGTGGTCTTCTTATTTCTCGAAGTGTAAACCGATATACTGCTTTTTCTGGTTATTCAGAGTATTGCCGCTGAGTTGATTGTGATGACTGTTGTAGACTACGAGCAAGCTACCTCTACACTCAAGGTTGGCGGTAGCGATTTTTTAAACAATCGATTCTTGTTGTGAATCGTCTTGTTAAGATTGGCCTTCCAACTCTAAGAAAGTTGTATGGTTCTGATGACGACGCTGTGAAAGTTCGAGCCTTGGCGGTAAGTTCTTAAGATTGGAGTGAACCTCACTTTGTGAAGAAAAAGTTGTTAGAATGGCCTAATTGCCTTGATAAAGTGAGACACTTTTACAATAAGACACAGCTTGCTCCGTTTCTCAGCTCCTTCTATTTGTATATACTGACTTCTATTACTATACTATATACTGACTTCTATTTGTAATGTTTTTCAAAGCATTCGTTCTGCATATATTTACTGTTGATAATGGCGATTTTCTTGATCTTAGAACTTGGTCTGGTGCCCATAACGAAGGATAGGATGGCGATCTGTACTTCAAACGAGCGAATACTTGCATCGGAAGCGAGTAGCGAAGATCCTATGATGCAAGCTGGGAAGATCGAGTGCGATGTCATCGGGACCGAAACGGGAAAACATCTCCCGTTGCGCCCCACTTTTGAAACTGGAGAAGAACTGTTCTTTGGAATATGCGACAGCATAGGCGTCGGCGTTGTAGGTGTCCTCGTCAATACGCTTTTGGCCATGAACATCGTTTCGTACGAAAGCTTGGCATCCTGAATCGGACGTTTGCGATTGGGAAGATGTAACTCAACCTCAGCTCTAACAGTCTTGTCTAAGCACTAACATCGAGCTACGAAGAAGAATAGCTGGAAGCATTTTCTATGAACCTCATGAACCTCCTCAGAGAGGACTACACCTTCACCAAAGCCATCGGAAAGTTTTCAACGCCAGGTTGATACCAGAAAAAGGAGATCTCACGCGGGGACACGAGGCATAGCATTCCTTCCGTGAAGAAGACTGGCCGTGACGTTTGGGGCCGTCTTGGTGTACGTTTAGCGTCTCAATATGTAGGTCTTCATTGGCTCTGGACTACTCTGGCTCGTGACAAGGACGAGTGGTGACGTTACTGGCGGCCGCTCGAAGAATTCGGCTGCCAACGGGACGATAGGTAAATAGGCAAGTAGAGAGAGGTCTGAAATCGTGAACCACATAAGCTACATAGTTGCGAAGGTGAACCAATATTACAAATTTAGGGTCTTTGTAAATGTGCTGCCGCCGGTAGTGATGATACCTCACGTGCAACAATGAAGGAAGGAACATCGCTGGAACTTGCCCGCGCATGCAAAAAGTTTTTGTTGGATGACGAGGAATACAGCACTGATGTTAGACGATTTGCATGCGAAGGTCTGTCCTACCTTTCTCTTGATGCTGATGTGAAGGAGTGGATTGTCGAGGACTCGCTTTTGCTTCGGGCTCTGTCTTGCCTAGCTCAATCCGCTGGAGCTCATTGTGTGTGAGTTCAATTATTTTGGTAGCCCTTTCCACAAAAAGCCGACAGTTTTTTTAAAGGTTCGCTTTGGCTAATATTTATGTGAATCTCACTAACTCATATGATAAACCGGAGGTGGATGAGGAATTAGTCAAACTAGCTGAGGTATAGTTAGATTTTTACGACAGGGAATTAGTTCTGGCTATGGCATGATGATTCACTCAGATAGCCAAGACTACTGAAAATCCTAGACTACGTATAAGTGCTATCAAATACATATGCGTGTTGAGTGCGTGGTGCGACTTGCTTGTTTGTGTTGACTGGCTCGTAGTTGTTTTCTAATGACGGTGTTCCAGTTCGCCCAACATCACGTACCTGAGGTTCACCCAAAGGACACTGTTGAGTTTGTAGAGAAGAGAGTGCGTTGCTTAGTTGAAGAGGGAGCCGTCGCAGCTTGTGTTGCAGTCGGTAAAACGGAATCCCATAAAGCATTGGAGCTAATTGCTCGGTATGCTGGCTAGTAATTGCGCTCGGACTGCGTATTTTGCGAAATACACTTGCTTAGGGCTATGCTCGCATTCTCTGAACAAGAAGATCTGAGAGGCTGCATCATTTCTGAAGGTGGCATAAAGCTCTGTCTACGATTGACTAACGGAGCGACAGCAACAGGAAAAATTATGGCGGCTCACGCAATCGCAAAACTTGGGGCTAATACTGACCCACAAATCGCTTTTCCTGGACAGAGAGCATGTGAGGTACGAATATCAGATAGTTCAGGTTCACCGATTTCTACGAAATCGGCCTGCTGAACGTAAAGCTGATTGTTCAAAGTTTAACATTATTATTTACTTAGTTTTCTCTCTTTACTCTCTTCTGCTTTCCAGGTAGTCAAACCTCTATGTGAACTTCTGCACCCACACATTGTAGGGGAACTTAATTACGATGCTTTGCTAACATTGACTAATCTGGTGAGTACTTCTCTGCACTGCTCTTTTTCTCCTCTGATTAATACGAGCGAAAACTAGTAATTGTATTATCTCTCAGTGAACTCGTTCAGGCAAGTATCAGCGATTCGGTCCGTCGTCGTATTCTCAAAGAAAAAGCAATACCAAGAATTGAAGAGTTCTGGTTTATGACTGATCATGAGCATCTCCGTTGTGCCGCCGCTGAATTGTTGCTGAATCTGTTGTTCTTGGATGACATCTACAAAGCTACCGTTGAAGTTAGTCTTGAATAATATTATTTATAACTTAATCCGCTTATTTTCCACCCTATTTTTGGGTTGAAGTGGCGAATTCGATTGCTTTCCCAAAGATTCAGATAAAACTTCTCTTATTATCGGAAAAGCGGTCACAAAAAGAAACTTCATATTTCGCTATTAGGTTGAAATCTTATTAAATGATTTACCAAAATCTTACCCCTTTTTACGATGGGAAAGAAGGGAGAGGATCAAAAATTTTTTCTCGCGACATCATAACCACTTCCGCATTTGTTTATGGTAGGAAACACTTGTTTTTTTCTGCAAGGAAAAGATGTTCGATCACTTAGAATGTGACTAAGATGTAAAATATTCATGGAATAATGTCGAAGTGCTAGCTGGCCAAGGACTTTTTAATTTGAAGTCTGTGAATCTAAATAGAGAAGCGGGTTGCTTTTGGTTACAAATTTATCGTTTTTGAATTTCGTCCTACATTACAGCCTGGAACTGACAAGCTAAAGTTGTGGGTTCTGTACGCTGCCGAAGAAAACGAGCGTTTGGCACGCGCGGCTGCAGCAGCATTCGCGATGTTAACAGAAAACGTGGATGCGGATCGCCGAATATTTGCAGAGATCGAGAGTTGGCCAGAAGTGCTCAAAAAGATTGCAATGCATGAAGATTCCGAGGTGGGTCTCTTCGTAATTAGCGCTAACTTTGAATGGTATCTCTCGCAAAGCCTTTTCCTTTTTCATTACTTGACATTCAGGCTCAACGGCGTGGTCTCATTGGAGTTGCTAATATTATGGAGAGTGATGAGAAGTTATGCTCGGAAGTTGTTGCGGTTCGTCATCTTTCAAAGATTCCTAGCGAGTTGTAATACTTATCAGTTTTTTTATTATTCGTTCTTTCGCATTTACTCTTACGTTACGAGTCTTAAGAGCCAATTTTAAGCTGTACGTCGATATCACTTTTCATTTCGAGCTGATCCTTACACTTGCACAATTGGTATGCAAAGGCGTGCTGTCGGTAGTCAAGCGACAAGTCTAAAGGCACAGTTCACGATAAATTTGGTGTATCTAGTTTTAGACGAGTAATAAAGAGGTGGTCCAGATTAGTGTGAAAGTGACGGTGAAAACGCATGATTCGGCCCATCTAGACCAATATAATACTTCAGAAAAGTAGTAAAATTAGGGGTCGGACGAGAATGTGATTATGAAAGTTGCGTGTGAGGTGGTATCGGAAGAGCTGTCCAAATAAGTGGGCGAGCTGTTTTCAATAAGCTGACTGTGTGCAAAGTGTGCATCCCAATGCGATCCAGCAACCTCTTCAGTTTCTCCAACGCCGTGTGGACTGTCCGCCTTTGGGTGTGTACATCGTCTGAACAGGTTTTGAGACTCTTATTGCGTCCTACATTGGCCGTTTTTGTGGCAGCATGACTTGTGCTATCCTTGGAATTCACAAGTTCGTCTTAGGGAGAAAACTCAGAAACTATTTTTATCGTGAACCGTCGTTGGTTTACTAGTTCTTGTTAGGCTTAGCGGCTCCACTTGCCATCGAGCTTTCTGTGTTGTCTATTTTTTTATTCTGTGAAAATGGCCAACGTCAGAATGATTGAATGCATTTCTTTATAGTCTGAACTATTCGAAGTACTAGTTGCTATCGCTAAGCTGGGACCTGCTGATGAAAGCAGAATAGGTGCATCTGAACAGGTAAGCACTGACCAGGGAGGGGTAGTCTACTTATCTTGGAACTTTGAATTCAGACCCAGATAAATCGATAGAGTTTTGAATGCTGTTTACGAAAATGGAAACTAAAACTGCAAAATGATTCTCTTTAAAAAGTTATGGGGGCCCGAATTTTGCTCGACAGTAGTATCAATTGTCTAAAGAAATGTCAGAAAAAGTTTAGAGAGCCTTTGAGAAAATGAAAAAACACTTTGCAAAAGTGCGGACAATGGCGGGTAAGGACCCCTCGTTGTACGCCCACGAAGCGAGACCACTACCACTAGGTCCCGTGGGCGTTTGATGTGGAAGCGACGAGTTCGCAATTCCAATTGATACTACTGTCGAGCGAAATGTGGGTCCCCATAACTTTTTAAGGAGAACCATTTTGCAGTTTTAATTTCCATTTTCGTGAGCAGCATTCAGAACTCTATCGATTCATCTGGGTCTCCATTTAAAGTTCCAAGATAAGTAGACTACCCTTCC